TTTTCCCCGTCTTCCTACCTCGATAGAAGCGCGAACTCTTCTCACTGTAGCATTTCAGCTGGTCTCTCTTTAAATCTCAGGCCGAATTCATAGATTTTCAGGATAATTTGAAGGTTTTCTAGGTAATTTGGTGGGGACAGGTGACTTGGGGACCCTACTCTTCTGCCATCTTGCCCCTCCTCGCAGGAGTTTATACTTTTTATCCCCAAAATATTAATACAACATGTACTTTGAAATACTATTTATAAAGATACCTTCTAAGCTTGAAAATAGACAAGTTGTATAGGCAACTAACTGCTCTTTTTTTAAATTTTTTTTTAATTTATTTATGATAGTCACACAGAATGAGAGAGAGAGGCAAAGACACAGGCAGAGGGAGAAGCAGGCTCCATGCACCGGGAGCCCGACGTGGGATTCGATCCCGGGTCTCCAGGATCGTGCCCTGGGCCAAAGGCAGGCGCTAAACCGCTGTGCCACCCAGGGATCCCCTAACTGCTCTTTAATCAATGGCTTTGAAAAGTCTTATCCTGGGGTGCCTGGGTGGCTTAGTCAGTTAAGTATCTGATGACTCCTGGTTTCTACTCAGGTCATGATCTCAGAGTCGTGGGATCAAGCCCTGCATTGGGCTCTGGGCTCAGCTTGGAGTCTGCTTCAGATTCTCTCTCCCCTCCCTCCTTCTCGCAGTCTGTCACTCTCTCAAATAAATCTTTAAAAAAGAAAAAGAAAGAGAGAGAGAGAGAAAGAAAGAAAGACAGGCTGACAGTTCATCTCACAGTTCATATATATGTAGTGAACCAAAGGCCAGAAATATTCAGGAATAAACTTATTATTATAAGTCTAAGACACCCAAGACAATATAAGAGATTAGTACTGAGGCCTAATTTTTCCATGATTTGTTACTCCTTGAGTCTAGATGTGTCCTTATTTATACCATATATTTTATTAAATTTACACATGAATGCGGTTAAGTGTATCCTTCAATTCAGGGCTGTTGGTGGTGGAAAGCCAAAATGAAAGAACAGTTTCTCCAGTCCAGATTTTTTGTGGTTAGGCCTTCAGGCAAAATTTTCAGCTTCCACTTGTTTATCAATTGTGATTTTAACTAATAGGTGCATGCAATTTAGCCAGAAGCCTGAATCTTCTCAAACTGGGACTCACATATTGACAGTGCTCTAGGAGCTATAGAATACATGGAGCATATTCTTGTAATGTAAACTTACTTAAAGATTTAAGGAATTAAATTTTGTTTTAAAATAAACACAGATTAAGAAAACTACAAAATTCACATTAATTGTTAGAAAAAAATCACAAAATATTTTAGTGTTACAGGCTGTTTGGGGCTCCCCTTCATGACATACTATCCTTTCCCTGCCCTAACCCCTCTGTCTTTAGGTTAAGTCACAGGAAAAGTTTTCGAAAATCTTAAAAGCCACTGCATGAATATTAATGACATGAATATATTCACTTAAATTTAACAAAATTATTTTAATGGAAATCATAATCAGAAATTTATAAAAATAGCCTAAGACCATGATTATAGAAATTCCCTTTTGAAAATCCAGGTATCCTATAAAGTATATCAAACCTAAAAGGAAGTTTGGTTATATTTCAAAAGAAGAGTTTTAGCCATTGAGAAATAGTACTCCCATGAGAGTTAGAGAAGATGTGTCAGTTTGCATTCTGAAATTTAGAATATTAGGATTCTAGAGTTTCTGATTTTCCAGCAACCCCTGAGGAAATAAAGTAACTAAGCTGAGTTACTGTGCAGTGGGTAATGGTGGCGGCTGTCAACTGAGCATACTGTGCTGAGTGCCATGCACAGTGCTTTACATTCACAGACTCATAGTGCCTTGTAAAGAATGCCTTGTCCCTTTTTTTACAAGTGAGAAAACAGAGACTCAAAGAGAGTAAGTGACTTGTCTGGGATCTCACACTCAGCTAGTTCCAGAAGCAGCCTTCAATCCCAGGTCTTTCTGACTCTAGGGTAGTGTTTTTATGGTCTGTTGCCAATGTAGAATACCAATTTGCTCCGGTGGGATAATTTTCATTTTTTTGGTCCTTTTCATCTAAGGATCTGTAAAGAGTGACCAAAAGTGTCTAAACCTCAGTCTTCTGCCCTATAACATAAAACAGCCAGGAATGTTGAAAGATCTCTCAAGCTAAGGTTTCTAAATAATTTAGATTTAACTTTGATAAAAAGACATAGAAAAAATAATATGTTGAGAATTCTAATGTCATTACAGTTTTCAAAAGGAGGAAAATGTGATGACTCTTGAGTATTACTAATGGTGATATGACATTCCAGAGCAAGACTTTAGAAGACAAGGACATAGCAAACACTGGATAGCTGTATGAATTCACCAGCAAGCCAGATTGCTTCTTGGACAGACTCACCAGACTGCTACATCCATGAAATTCAAAAAGCAAAGCAACTGACCTGGAGCATGGTACTTGGCAAGGTCAATATTTTACAGACAGAGCAGGATAAACAGAATTTAGGTTCTAGAATACATTGTTAGATCAATAGCTGATTGAACAGCTGTACCCAATAGGTGATTGATATCTAGCTGAAGATACAGTTCTGATGATATTTGACATGACTCAGTCTTCTGCCTTGGCAATAATTTTTATCAGATGTCTATATAAAGGTCCTGATTATCTAAAATTTTCATAGGAGGAAGAGAATGCATATCTAGTGTACCCATGGCCAGAATAAGAATATAAAAATCAGGCTTTAGTAGGCAGAAATGTAGAGGACTGTTCTCAGTTTTTAAAACTGAAAAATACAAGTAAAAATAGAGTGATATGATTTGAGGGTTTAAATCCATTAGATTTTATTATAAGACATTGCTACCTTTAGACATAAGAAATACAGCTATGTGAACCAAAATAAATTAATGAATTACCTTCCTTTTTCCTTATTAGCAATTTTGTGGAATAAAAAAGCTTTTACCAATATTTATACAATGCTCATTTAGAATGGTACACCTCATTGATAAATTCCACCTATATAGAGTGATTTTAGTCAAATTATATCAGATGCATATTGCAGATTATGAAATACTGTTAAACTCACCAAGGAGTCTTATATTATGCTTTTCTGTAGCTCTGGCTCAGTAATTCTCTCCTTAAAAAAAAAAAAAAAAACAAACATTTATTTTTATTTATTTATTTTTTTAAAAAACAGATTTATTTACTTGAGAGAGAGGATGTGTATGAGCAGAGTGCAGAGAGGCAGAGGGAGAGGGAGAGGGAGAGAATCCTCAAGCAGACTCCCTGCTAAGCACATAGCCCTACATGGGGCTCAATCCAAAGATCCTATGATCATGACCTAAGCTGAAAATGAACTACCCACTTTAACCAACTGAGCCACCCAGCCACCCTGTAATTCTCTCTTCTAAGTTGTTTTATAATCTTCCTTTGCAGGAAAGCTTTTGAAAAATTTTTTAACTTAAGCAGTTGCCTAGCTTTGTTAGATCCTTATAACTTGTTTAGAGAGAGTGGGAATTAATGAAAATATATGGAAGGAATAATTCTCTGGAATTATTTCCTCCCACTGAAGTATAGATTCCATGAGTTTGAGGACCATGTCAGTCTTCATTACCATGACCCTAGAGCCTACGCCAGTGCCTGGCACATGGTAGTTATGTGTTAAATATTTGGTAAAGGAAATAATATCGTAATTTTAACTGAGCTCATTTGCCGGATATTAACTCCATAGAGTATAGTTTGCTGTTAGTGCCCATGGTTATCTGTGAATGATTTGACCTTATGCAAAAGTGAACATCTACTCAGGAGGCTATTCAACATGAAAAGACACTAACTTGTATCTTACACCTATTGTAGGTTGGCTCTGTTAAATTGTCTAGTAACAGCACATGGGACAGACAGATCCATTTAGTAGTCAAGTATTATAAGATGACACAAGTACTGGTAGTAACTACTAATTATATGCCACAATGATATGATCATTAATAAAGAGACGATGCATTTTCCTGTGAAGTGATATAGGAGTCAGGATAACAGAGCCATGGGTCAGGAATCTGAGCACTCTGGTCAAATTCTGATTCAACTACTCACAGTAACTACCATAAGTCTCAGTGTCTCTATTTGTACAATAGACATTAGACCAGGAATTTTTTTTTAATTTTTTTAAATTTATTTATGATAGCGAGAGAGAGAGAGAGAGAGAGGCAGAGACACAGGCAGAGGGAGAAGCAGGTTCCATGCACCGGGAGCCTGATGTGGGATTCGATCCCGGGTCTCCAGGATCGCGCCCTGGGCCAAAGGCAGGCGCCAAACCGCTGCGCCACCCAGGGATCCCTAGACCAGGAATTATTTCACAGAATTGATGTGAGGATTGAAGGACATAGTCCATGTAAACATATTAGTACAGGATCTGGCACACGGTGAATAATAAAAGCAAACTCCTTTATGCAGATGAAATTTCTTCTCAGAAAGATGTGACCATCTTAGGCCACAGGCAGGAATGTGGGAGCCAGCACCTGGAACCCAGGTCCCTCTAACTTCAAATTGTATTTGCACTCTAGCTGTATGCTACTTTAACATGATGTGAGAAGAATGCTAGAATGTTCAACTACCAACCAAAGTACAAGGAGTCTGCATGGCCTTTCAGGAAGGAAAAGCAGGCAAAAGAATAAAATAAAAGGAAAACACAGAATAGAAAAATAAAATGTCCTAGCCTTGTTGGTGTCTGCACAAATAGAGAATGCTAAATCCAGGATCTGTTGTTGTACAGAGGGAGGAAATAATTTTATAAATATTTTATAATTGTTACTTTAAGAAAGTCAAAATTATTTCATCTGTTTACATATATTTTGACACTGTTAAAAGACAGAACTTTTTCCTCTTGTATATAAAGTGCTCTGGGCAAGCATATAAGATAGAGCAAAATTTAAATATTTATTGGACTTCATCGTGATGGCATTTTTCTCAATTGTGTACTATCATTTATGTATGAATCTCCTTTGTTTCCACAGAATGCTGAAGTTTCTGTCTTTGAAGTAAACATACGCTTTGTTGGTGGACTACTCTCAGCCTACTATCTATCTGGAGAAGAGGTAAGGTGAAACTATAAAATTACATTTTGGGGGTAAAATGTGCTTTTTGTGGTATCTGTTTTCATATTTTGATGGTCCTCTAGCATACACTGAATCTCATTTAATATATACTAATTAAACGAGCATGCTGGGAAAGGTGGGCACAACATGTTCTGAGGATATGGTAAGCAATGCCTTTTAAAAAGCCTGGCTCCATTCTGTTAGGTGTGATGTGACTATACCTATAAATGGGATATGCCTGTGGACAAATTAAAGAGGTTTAGTGCAGTGGCAGACTTGTGGATGAATTGTTTTTCTTTAAAAATTATGTTAACGTTTGCATAATGTTACCTTAACAAAAACTTTTTTGAAGGTGAAGAAAGTTTGACAGGTAAGATGTGACCTTACCTGACAGGTAAGATCTAAAAATTACAATATTTAAGAAATTGAAGGGGTAATTGAAAGAAATTGAAGGCTGAGGTACTCAGCCTTCCAGTGAGAAGTCCTGTAGGCCGGTGTCCCTGTGTAAAGTACTTTGGAGCTCTTCCTAGAGTGAGGCTTAGTTCATTATCTGCTCTGAGGAAAGCAGGAATTTTTAATTCAGCTGCCTTTTATTGATAGATTAAGAAAAGATTTTTGTATCATGCTTCTAAAGAGCACAGATGCTATTTTCTTGAAAGGTTTTGGACAACTTTATGAATATCCTAAGTGTCCACTAAGAGTTGTTGGAATGGACTTTGCCTTTAATGTTGACAGTATTAAAAGCTGACGTCAAGGAAAAACAGTCACATATTTCAATTGCATGTCAGTCAGATTTGTGTGAGCCTCAGCATTCTGGCTGGGGAGGAGCGGATCTTACCTAGGGTAGTATTTCATGTATTTCTATGCTCCTTCAAAACAGATTTAAGCAGAGCAATAAATGTTTAATGAGAAAAGCTGCTTTACTTGGTTGCTGTCTCCTGGGCACTATCTGGGCCATAACAAAACAGCCTGCACAATCTTCACGTTCTGTCTTTAGATTTTATTCCACCATAGATATTTTTAAAGTATATAAATGGCTCTGTATTCCCCTCTATCCGTCCTGCTTAAGTGTTAAATTCTTTTCCTCATTATGGACTCTGTCACCTTCTCAGCATCAGTCCTCTTCTTCCCTTTTTCCAGGCCCGCATAACTTCATTTGTTCAGTTTGCTTTAGGATGTTCCAAGCTTTAAGCCAGGGCATCCATATTTTGAAAAAGTCTTATGGAAAATTAATGTTGTTTTAGTTAGCAAGTTCCTGCTTTTAGAATATTTGTCTTGGAGTATCCAGTGCCTGGTGTTCTCATTGTTTTTGACGGGAATACTTAGGATGAACTTGGTTTTTAACTTTTTTCATCATTTATATGAAGGTGAGACAATTTGAAGAAAATAAGAACTGCATCCTTTTGGGCACCTGAGTGGCTCAGTAGTTGAGCGTCTGCCTTTGGTTCAGGTGTTGATCCTGAGGTCCTGGGATCGAGTCCCACATCAGGCTCCCCAGAGGGAGCCTGCTCCTCCCTCTGCCTATGTCTCTGCCTCTCTCTGTGTCTCTCATGAATAAATAAATAAAATCTTTAAAAAAAAAAAACTTCATCCTTTTATATCTGGGCTCAATTAGGATAGTCGAATATACAAAGATAAACAACACATTTCTTTTAAATATGCATCATATTTAATTAGGATTTTTTTCACTTGTAGTAATGTCTTATTTATATACACATGTGTTTTATGTGTGTATGCGTATTATAAACCTATAGTTAAATATGTTATTTAAATATGATATCCATAGATATTTTGCCCACAGATAAAATCATTTGCCACAGATCTTGTAAAGGTACTTTTTTATTCCATACTTAGCTAACTTTAGTAAACAAAGTACTACAAAGAAAACCTCCACTGAAAGTATTCTTTTCATGTATTTGCTTTGTCCTCACCCCCATTCAAAACATTGTTTTTATTACATCTAGATTTTCTATATTGTAATTTTATAAAAATTACTTATGGTCGTTCCCTTCTTACATACTTTTCTGTTTCTGTAAAATGCACTTTTGGTTCATAAGGGTTCATCATCTCAGCATAATATTTGTATAGCCAGTCCCTAAATGTTGAGTAGTTATTTCCAGTGTTCCTGTATTTTGGATAATGTAGCCATAATCAGCTGATAAATATTTATTCTCTAAAGTGGGATTGCTGGATGAGAAGTGATTAGTAGATGACTGCTTTAACATCATTTCCTTTCTTAGCCACCTCATCACTGACAATTTCATTTGACCTATGTACTTGGGGGAGTTGGCTATCAGGAATGTGGTCAAGAAAAAACATTTTACCCCCAAGTCTGTACTTGAGCTACTTGTCTCCATATCTAAATGAAAAAAATTGAACATATTATTTCTTAATAGAAAGAACATCAACGTGGCCAAATTATGAGTTAGTTGGTTTCAGATTGTTGGTAAAGTTCTATATTATACATTTTTATGTAAATCAAGGTATTTACTAAGATAGTCTAGGCAAGTTTGTCTTCCTAAAGTATCTCATAGAGGGCCTACTAAATCACCATAATTTGAGATGCTCATTTCATTGCTGAGGCTCAGGAGTAATTTGAGAACATCATATAAATCACCATCAGAACCATATAGCCCCACATTGATATAAGCTCAAAATTCTTAAATTTATATTGCAAAAACAGAAGAGGAAGTACCACTGGCTTATGTTACATGCTTCTAAATTACAATTAGATAGTAATCAAGAATGCCAGCAGAACTCTAAAACCTACCAAAATTATGGGAACATGGCATACCCGTTGATAAGTACTTTGACTATAGGGACATATTCAAAAAATTCTAAAACACCCTAGCTCACTTAAAACGTTTTGTAGTGCCATTAAAAACAGTCAAACTACAAGATTTTCAGTTCGTATAAGAAATGCAAACAATCACAAGAATTACAAATGTTTAAGATAGAGATAAGATGCATACTAAATAGGAATTAGTATTAAATATAGATAAAAGAGATAGTATTGCTCTATTATAAACTCAAGGGAAACTAAAGTCCTCATTGGAGACAGTAAATAGCAGCATCTAGGATATTATTACCCAAAATATGTTCTACAGAGCTCTAGTTTCTTTAGATATGTCAGGATAAGTCTGGTTCTGTATGCATACTAAAAATAAGTTCAGAAAAAGCTACATCTTATATTCTTAGAAATTCACAATGTACAGAAAAAGAAACTAATTGAATTTTATTTATCCCTGGGTTTTCCATATTTCCTTAACTGTAACCTTCCTTCCTTTTCCTTAATATAACATTTGCTAACTTTGAGTTACAATACTGTTTCCTAGAACAAATTTTGAGAAACCTCACTGTACAATGGGAGTAACCTAAGCAAAAATGATATTAAAAATTGGCAAATGAAAAACAAGACATTGCAAGGGAAGATATATGTGGAAAGGAGCATGTATGAATATACTACATATTATTTGTTGTACAGTAGTAACCAATGGCTTTATTGAGCAGAAAGTGAATTGAACAGGATTTAATGGTGCCACAGACTCATAGTGAGAGCTGAAAAACAAGTTGGAAGTAAGTTTTGAGTGGCCACAGAGGTGGCTCAACAGTCACACTGGGACATCCTAGAATTAATAAACATGCCCTATTTTTTTCCTACCTTTGTCAGGACACAAAGGCCCAGAAGAAAGAGATCAGTTGGCAGTTCTATTTACATGTGAGGAATGAAAGAGAGGATATGATAGAAGAAGTCTTCTATAGGATTTGAATTCAGTATCCTTTGAGGACCAAGTATAGATAATTTCTGAACAGGAAATTGAGGCCTGTTAGAAGGGTGAGAAGAATAAATGTTTGGAAGCCAAAAAACAAACAAACAAACCAACAATACAATGTCACTATGGGGAGTAAGGGTATCAGAGGAAACAGACAAGCCATATGGAAATTGATAATTTAATGATATGCTTGACAAAACTTTTCCTGATTTGCAAAACTACTTTATTCTGTAAATTAAGAGAGAAAATTTGGAACTACTAAGATATTTACTCCTCAGAGAAGATATTTGACTAGTGTGTTTTATGTATGTGAACTAGAAAAACAAAACATCAACTCCTGAATGCTAAAATGATGGAAGAACTAGCTTTCAATGAAAAAAGATACCAAGACATCTGATCTAACACTGGGGAAACACACATAATGGATTCTTATATTAGATCAGTTTACTCCACCAGGACATCCTTCATTGCAAAGGGAGCAAAAAATATTCCTCCCCAAATTCACCAAAAGTCCGCTGCTCCAAACACCAATACAAAAGATCGCTAAAGGACTTCCTGCAAAGAGAAGTAGCTAATGCCACTAAGTTTAGGAATGTCAAGGAAGGGATCCCTGGGTGGCGCAGTGGTTTAGCGCCGGTCTTTGGCCCAGGGCGCGATCCTGGAGACCCGGCATCGAATCCCACGTCAGGCTCCCGGTGCATGGAGCCTGCTTCTCCCTCTGCCTGTGTCTCTGCCTCTCTCTCTCTCTCTGTGACTGTCATAAATAAATAAAAAAAATTTAAAAAAAAAAAAAAAGGAATGTCAAGGAAGAAAATGTATAGGGAGGGGATAGGATTGTGGAGTAGGGAAGAGAGAAATAAGATTAGAAATATGAGTTTACTGGTGGAAAGATCTACCATTTTCTCATAATAGGATCCAGATATTTGGGGTTTCTTACAAGAAATGTGCATAATATACACAGAGCTGTTAAAAACAGAGAATAAAGTCAGACTATATGTTTTTAATTTTTAATTCCATGTAGTTAACATACAGCGTTATATTAGTTTCAGGTGTACAATATAGCATCCCTCAGTGCTCATTGTAAGTGCACTCCTTAATTCCCCATCACCTATTTCATCATGGATGAAACACCATCTCTCCTCTGGTAACCATCACTTTGTTCCTTAGAATTTAGAGTCTGTTTCTTGCTTTGTCTCTCTCTTATTTTTTTCCTTTTCTTTTTTTTTT